AGAAGATCCAAAGAAGTCAGCATGTTGTTCTTGCAAAGTACACTAGCTAATGCTTTTCCTCCTTCTGGTCCAAGATTATTACCACAAATATTCAAAGAAGTCAGCGTAGTGTTTTTGCAAAGAAATTTTGCTAACATCTCCCCTCCTTTAGCACCAAACTTATTACCACCAAGAGCTAAAGAATTTAAAACAGTATTTTCATCAAGTGCCTCCAATAGTGATTTACTCATTTCATACCTAAGTCGATTAGAACCAAAACTCAAAGAAGTTAAAGTAGAATTTTTATAAAAGATCTTTGCTAATCCATCCATTGGCTTAGGACTCATGAAATATACGTTTACAGACGTAACGGTTGTGTTCTTGCAAAGATTTTCAAGAATTATTTGATTGCTTATAGTTTCATCGTTAAGATATAAATGTTTAAGATCTTTGTCAGTTCGTAGAAACATTGCAATTAAAGAACTTTTAATTGCATTTTCAAGCCCATATCCTGTTTTCTATCATAATAAAGCCAATTAATAAATTCACAATCATTGCTAATAGATGTGATATAACTTGTATATTCAAATAATGGTTTTGGATGACTTGGAAGAGTAATATTGAAAGGAATTAATAAAGTTTGCTCTTCGGAATTTAACATCAAAAGTAATGTTCTTATAAATCTTATATCTTCAAAAAGGTATTTTGGTATAATAATTCTACACCATTGACGGTTTACAAGCGCACATGAAAATAAATTTTTGTAACTATGCCGAATTTTATTAAATATTTCATAGTAACATTCATTTGGTAATGTTATCATGTTTATTTTACTTAAGTGCGTATGTACGCACGTAGGATTTATATATAGAAAGATTGTGAAACGTCACCATAAAATCTAAGTTGGGAAGGATTGTGCATCATACGTAAGTACGGAAACCCACAAAAATTGTCCCTCCCGTGACTTTTGACTAATCAAATTTCAAGATCAGATGTAAAATAAACAATCGAAGCGAAACCATTTTTTACAAAAGAAACCACTTCTGCTGCATTATTAAAAATGCACCTCGTGAAATTTTATTAATAGAAGCTTTATTCTCCTAACCTAAACTACAATGTTGTTTATTCACAGTAAAAATTACAGGGGGGCAATTTTTGTGGGTGCGCTACCTAGAGATGGGGACCATGCGTACTATGCATGCATGCAGGCGCATGGTCTAAGTAATTTTATACATATGCTCATACAATAATGGTTAAAATAAAATATATATTTGATAATAAATAACTTTTAATTCACTAGCCTGTTATTGATACCAAAATGATATCTTGATAAGAAGATTCTAATGACTATATCTCAAGATCATTAAGGTTTTGTGTTATTTTAAATATTTAAACCACAAAGCGTATCAGAGTGTTGGAGAAAAGGCGGTTGTCATGGATATGATGGTGGAGTTGTTAGAATGGGATTGTCGGGGAAGTAATTATGTCTATGAAATAGATTATATTGGGGAAGTGGATTACGTTGAGAAGTGATTGTAGTGGAGTGTTGAGGAAATGGTAATTGTTGTGAATAATCGGAATAGGGATCCGGTCAATCACTTCGTGAGCACCACATTTCACTGACAATTACTTACCGACAAGTTCATAGTTTATTTCACCGAAGCTCATTTTACAGACAAAGTAATTCTGGTCAGTATCATTAGGGTCAGGTTAATAAAGCTGGTATAATTTATAAAAAAGCTTGTCGGTGAAATGAGCTTTGGTGAAATAGACTGTTGGTAAAATGAACTTGTCAATGAATAATTGTTTGTGAAATGTGGTGTCTATGAAGTGATTGTCAGTAAATAATACAGATCCATATGGAAGATATCTATTAATTGAGTAAACAGTATTGAACTCGGACATGTTTTCAAACTTCGAACTGGCTAGGTCCATTTTGATAAGAGCTCTAGTAATTACCCTATCGGACTCAAACGTGTTTGAAAACTTCATTTCACCGACACTTAATTTATAGACAATTAATTCACCAACAAGTTTAATTCGTGTAATTTGAAGAAAAAAAACTTAATTATATGATTAAGCACTTGGCTTAAGTTCGGGTTAGTGCTAGGGTCTAAAATTAAAATACTATCGGATTTTTGATAAAATAATATTTATCTTCGGTTATAAATTCAACGTGAGTTGCGGATGATCATACTGGCCCTGTGCAAGGTCACACGTTGCACAGTTACCTTAGTTTTTTTTAGGTTTAATTAATAATTGAACCCGAACATGTTCATGAACTTTGAACCGAATACAGACATGTTCATGAACTTAGAACCGAACTCAGACTGAACTAATATTTCAAGTTCAAGTTCATAAATTCTAAGTTCGGTTCGGATTCGAGTTCAAAGATCTACAAAATTTAAAGTTCAGTTCGGGTTCGGTCAAATCCGAACCCGAACCTAATTAAACTGAACATGAACGGTTCTACCGAAAACCATTTTCCCGAAAGAACATAATACCGACTAAATTGGCCAACATTATAACTAATGCCGGCCAATTTTGTCGGTATTAGGTCCTTTCGGGAATTTGTCTTCCGGGATTTTATGGTAAACCCTTTAAAAAAAAATGCTTATGCGTGGCTAAGTGTGGCATCGTTAAATTCTTAATAATGAATACTATTATTAAATTACTTATGAGATTTAGTACTGTGAAATTATAAAATTTTGTCTGATCAAGGGAATTTCAGATATTGAGAAAATTTTTAATTTCTTGCCTACAGTATCAATTTATCTTAAACAAGAATTTAGTATAAATTTTTTGTTCAGCCAAGACAATTTAAAAGCCAGTCAAATAAATTTCAAGATCCTTAACGTTAAGTTTACTTAATGGAGAAATTTTAATCGGTAACTTGTGGAACGATTCAAGTGTATCATTTGACTAAGACAATTTTAAAGTCCGATAACAACAACCAAAAATGGTAAAATATTGGAAAATCTTTATTTATTACTTCTAATTAGGTTTATTACCTTTTAATGGACTTCTTTTTTTCAATTTTCATTTCCTTGTTTTAGTTAGATACCTTTTATCCGGTTTGCATCCTTTGTTAGTTTCGTCACTTTCAAACAATTTCATCTGTTTCGCTACCTTTCATCACTTTTATTAGGTTTTAATTGACAGAAGATGAAATTAGTTTCATGTTTTAATAGTGTAAAGCTTCATATTTCGATACTCATATCTTCCATAAATTTTTCCTAAATTGTTTTTTTACATGTAAATTAGTAGTTTTTATTTTGAAGGCTCTGACATAATAATGGCTACAGTATTTCTGCTAGGTAAATCTTAATAAGAAAATGGTGTGATTCAGCGATACAACAAAATATAACATAAAAGTGCTTTGTATACTTATTTTGTTTCATAAATTATGCAACGTGTTACTTGCTATTATTAAGATAAATTTTGTGTTCGGGTGACACTAAGCTGTTCAATGGACTAATTAATCGAAACATAGTCGGGTGCTTGTAGATCACTAATTTCGGATTTTTTAATGGGATTTGAAGTTATTTTTGATTATACTTTCTTTATACGAGTTGAAAAATTGAGCACCAAATTCAATTTTTTTCTCAATATTGTACTATTAATCATAATATACTTTTATTTTATTTGTAAGTTCCCATCAATTTTTTTTCTTAATAAATAAATTCTTTATAATATTTCATAATTTGATTAACGATTCACAGAAATGTCTCTATTATATGAAAGAGAATATGAGAGCTTTGAATAATAAAATAAAAAATTCCACTTAATATTAATTAGGCGAATGCTGTTAAAAAATTATTTGGACTTTTGATTTTTTTTTTTAATACCTTAAATTGAAAGAGACGATCATTTATAATGTAACAATCGAAAACCCAATTATCCGTATATTTCCGAATCAAAACAACCCGAATAGAAGCTACCTTCCAATTTTTGAAAAAAATTTGGAGGAGAATGTTATGTTTTAAAAATAAAATTAGACCCAAAATAGAAACTACCTCATCACTTTAGTCTGAAAATCTCTTTTTTCAACATTTCGACAACTCATATTCGACAATATATGATACTTTTTTTTACCAAATTAATATTAAACAGCTTTTTTTCTGAAAGCTCTCATCATTTTTCTTTCGTATAAAGAAGGTTTCTATAAATCATTAATTAAATTATTAAATTATTAAATATTATAAGAAAATCTATTGTAAGAAAGAAAACGGCGAGAGCTTTTTCAAATAAAGCAAAAACAATCAAATTAGTCAGTATGTTATTCAGATAATATGAATTGTATTTTCTAATCTTATGCATAGTAAGCATTAGAATTCCTATCCATTATCCGTTTATCCATTTACCTGTTGGATATCCAGATCTGAATTTATTCGGATATTCGTTTTACTATTGATATCCGGATAATTATCCGGATATCAATAGTAAATGGATATCCAGATAAATTCAGATATGGATAAATGGATGACGGATTTATCCGGATTGGACCCTAGTAAGCATAATAAAATCCGTAATTAATGATCTACATATGTACCCTTTGTCGATTGAGCACGCAAAGGTGACACTACAGTAATTCTTTATAAAAGTTGAATAAAAAGACTGGATTTTTTCTTGTTATTAAAAATGATAACCACAATGGACAATCGTGCAAAAATATAAATTCCAAACCCATGAAAATATTCGTAATTAATGATCTACATAACTATGATTTGATTATTTATAAAAGTTTAATAAAAGACAACGAATGTTTGAAATTTATTTCTTCTTAATAAAAATGAATAATCACAATGGACAACCGTACGTACGTACAAAAAAAAATAAATTTCAAATCCCATGAAAAAAATCCGTAATTAATGATTTGCATATGTACCCGAACTATGTTTGACTATGATTTTACTAATTAGTCTATTGAACACTCTGAGGTGACACTACAGTAATCCTTTATAAAAGTGGAATGAAAATGACAGTAAATGCTCAAATTTTATTTCTTTCTAATAATAAAAATGAATAACCACAACGGACAACCGCACAAAAAATGGTTCCAACGCCTCTTCAATGCCTTCAATAACGAAGAAACAGCTATTGAATTTTCTATTGATAATAGTCCAAAGGATGGATTTATAAAAATCTTTAATAGGAACGGAGAAGATCTTATCAAAATTCTAGGAGTTGTCTCGAATACTCAGAAGATTGTCGTATGGTATTGGCCTAAAAGCAATGAACCAGAAATAATAAATCGAGCAATTGAATATATTGATAAACATTTTGCATTTGATAATAAAATTACTGACGTAGATGATAATGAAACAGAAAATTTTAATGCAGTTACTGAAAAAGACGACGAATGGGAATTACAAAGAAAATTAATAGAAAAACTCGGTAAACGTAATACAATTTTCCCCGGGTTTGATTATCTTTTTAAATACGAATGGGTTCCTTCAGACTCAGTAGGAAAGAATGATTTGATTCTTACCAATGGTAAAGGTATATTTGCTATCGTTGAGACAAAAAGAATTCGAAGTAAAGATGGGAAAAAATTCCGAATGAGTTTTGCTATTCGCCAAGCTGGGTATTATAAGCATAAATTTATCGATGATTGTAAAGGTGTTTATGAAAAAGATGGACATACTTTTGATATTATTGCGGTCATTGGGGTGGGTATTGCTGAGGATGATAAGAGGATGTGCTTTAGACCTTTTGATGAACATGTTTGTGGCGCTCTTGATAAGCTAAACAATAAAAATCATTTAATACCGCCTCCTATGTATACATTATCAAGCAACCCTTCACACTCGCGTAATCCATCAAGTTCGAGCTTAAATGGTCATTCACGCAATCCATCAAATTCGAGCTTATATGGTCATTCACGCAACCTATCAAATTCTAGCTTTTATAGTCACTCACGCAACCCATCAAATTCTAGCTTTTATAGTCACTCACGCAACCCATCAAATTCGAGTTTACATAGTAATATAGATTAGGGTTTAATGCCCGATAGTAGTAGGGTTTTATATGTATCGAAGCAAGTAAAATGGTGGGAACAATTTTACCTACGGTGCATAATTATTCTTTTTGATTCTTTTTAATTATCTTCATATATTTATATTTGTAACTTATGTTTCAAAGTTTCAATTTCATTAAATTTGTTAACATTTTAAAACTTCAATAAAATTTCTTTTATATTTAAATATTTTTCTATAATATCCACTGTTAGGGCTAGGGCTTTTTATTTTTTTTATTATACTCGTATTTAAGAGTTAAAAAAAAATAGTCAAAAGAAAATAAGATAAATAGACAATATTAACAATTCAAAAAAATTAAATTTCATAGGATGCAGATTTTGTTACAAATAGTACGTAATTTTTCCTCTCAAAACATATTTATAAACGCTTTTATAGTAAATAAAATCGAATTTTCATATTGTATATGAAAGTTTTTAAACTTTATTAATAACACAAATTAATAACACAAATTATTTATTTATTATTTTTTATCACCACCATTAAATTATCGATCGAAATTTCACAAATAAAGGTAAAATTCTATAAACATTTATAATTTTGATAAACGAAGTATAAAGTTCACTCGTTAATCAGAGAATATCCAATTTTTTGTTAATACGTCCCAATAAGGTTGAATAAATAAGTCTAATTCCGCGTTCCATAAGTATTTGTTTGCTTTCTTCCAAGTTATTATATTTATCTTGAAAGATGTTAAGAACTTTAAGCCTATTATTACTCTTTAAATTATTAATAAATGATTTAAAAGATTTAGAAGAAGGATAATAAGATTTGGTCATAATAGTAATATTTAAATTATTTAACGATGGTGGTATATTTTCAGCTATTTCAATAAAATTATCATCATAAAAATTATTCCTTCTATAAAATTTTAACACTTTTAGTTTTCGACAATTAATTAAAATTGATTCAATTTCAGAATTTGATAAATTACAAATATTTAAATAAATAAGGCTTGTGCAATTTAGTGTGATAGTGCTAATAATTTCTGATCTATTATATGGAGTTAAAGGGGTTATAGATAATTCCAAATGTTGAAGATTTATGTTTGCGGATTTGATTATTTTTATAATTAAGAGTACAGCAGCCTGATTAAATTTCCCAAATAATTTATCATTGCTGACTACAAATTTTTTTAATATTTTTAGATCAATAAATGGTGACCAAGATTCAATAGTAGGTTTGTCAAATTGATTAAGGTCAATCCCTTTTAATGAAAGATTTAATAAAGAATTGGATTTATTTTGTAATGATTTAAATATTTGTGAAATATTTCTGTATCCAATTATTTCAAGAGATTGTAATCTACTTGAAGCTTCAATGAGTTCTGCCAATGCATTAGTTTCATTTTCCTTATCTTGATCAATTCGATATGAATCTTCTCGAATAGTAATATGTTCAACTTTTTTGGCAATTTCTGAAATTTGTTTAGTAAATGTTGGAATGTTTCTAACAAATATTTGTTCATTCATTTGTGAATATATAAATAATCCCTTTAAGTCTTGTAAACTTGGTGTATCTTTATTGAGAATCGGTGAAATTGGTGCTTTTAAATTTCCATCAAGATGAATGAACTGAATTTTATTTGCTTGTTCAATTAAATTTTCAATTAATGTCATTCTTAACATTTCTTGATAATATGATTTTTGATATTCTGATACAATTTCACTAATAATCCAAGAGTCTGCTACATTATAAATAAATGAAATATCCAAAACTTTCAAGAATGATGGATAATTATGAGTCGTAGAAGCTGCGGTTGGTAAAAACAATCCTTCATTCTTCAAAAATTCGTATTTATTCTTGGTAAGACATAGTAAATAGGTTCTAGCAAGAAGTTTTAAAGATTTCCATGCTTTTTCATCTGGCTGAGGAAAGCAGTTAGGAATATATGGAGCCTGCCAAAGAATGCGTACCGCAGTTTTGCACCATTGATTGTTGACTAAAACGCATGGATACAATTTGTAAGGTTCAAAATATTTAAAAATTTCGGTCAATATGTCATCAATCGCAAAAATTTTATGCATTGTATTTTTTTATCCCAATATACCAAAAAATAAAAATAAAAAAGAAAGGTCAAAAAGTATGTACTGTACGTACATAAGTGCTATCCGTTTCTATATAATTTAAATTCTACAAATTAGGATAGTGTAACAGGGAATCAATACAGCATGTCTAAATCCGTTTAGGTGTTGAGTAGAGTTGAGTTGAATATGTTTTCTGTTCAAGAATTAATCGATTCAAGTTGACTTGGTCATCAACGATAAATTTAACTCGACTAAGTTTCGATGCTATATAATAAATTTTCAGAAACTCAAAAATTACGATCATCTGTAATGCACGTGCGTATGTACGTACATCGTACGTATGTATGGTACGTAGCCGAATTCGAGAAATATTGTGACACCTAGCTGGACGTTTTGTTTGGTCTGAAATATGTAAAGTACGCCGCTTCACTACATTTTGCATTTCCGCCTTTTCGTTTTTTCAACTAAATTCTTAACATATTAAAATGATTACAATATTACCAGACGAATGTCTTTTAGAAATATTTAATAATTTTCGTACAAATTTTAGAACATTATATTCATGCCTTTTTGTAAATCGTCACTGGTGTAGAATTATTATACCAATATTATGGAGTGAACCAACAAAATATTATGATGATTTAAGACTTATAAGAATGTATATTTTAGCCTTAAACGCCGAAGAACAAGCCTTATTAATCCCTTATAAAATTTTTCTTCCAAATTATCAAAGACCATTATTTGAATATTCAAGTTTTGCTACTTATGTTGGTTTTTACTTGGCAGATAGAGATACGGATGGAATTAAAAATTGGCTTTATAAAGAAGGATATGAAGATGATTTTTTTCTTTGTTTTTACAATGATTATAATTACTATGATGATTATAGTTATTGGGATCTTAGTTACGATATAGAATTTAATGATCAAGTAAATGCTATTAAATGTTCTTTAATTGCAATGTTTTTACGAACCAGTAAAAAACTTGAACATTTAGACATTGATAAACTTATTTATAATAATATGTTATTGGAAAGGCTTTATAAAAACAAATCTATTACCTCTTTAAAATTTCTTTGTAATAATTTTGAAGATATCAAATTTTTAGTAGAGATTCTTTATAAAAATACTACACTGACTTCTTTAAATATTTCTTATAATAGGTTTGGATTTAATGAATTAGAAGCATTGATAAAAGCTCTTTGCAAAAGCACCACATTAATTTCTTTAAATCTTAATTTCAATTGTCTTTTCTCCGAAAGTGGAAAAGCATTAGTTAAGACTCTTTGCAAGAACACTGTTCTGACTTCTTTATCTATTCGTTGCAATCAACTTGATTTCGAAGGTGCAAAACTTTTAGTAGAGGCGCTTTGCAACAACAACACTTTAGCTTCTTTAGATATTGGAAATAATAAGATTGATTTTGAAGGCATAAAAGCATTATCAAAGGTTCTTTGTATAAATACCACTTTAACTTCTTTAGATCTCTCTTTTAATTCCCTTGGTCCTAAATCTGGAAAAGTGTTAGCAGAGGTTCTTTATAAGAACACTACTTTGACTTATTTATCTATTTATGGTAATCGATTGAGTTATGAAGGTGTAGAATCATTAGCAGAAGGCCTTTGCAATAATACCGTCTTAAATTCTTTAAATCTCGGCTGTAATCAAATTGGACTTAGAGGAATAAAAGCATTATCAGTGGCTCTATATACAAACACTACTCTAACTTCCTTAAATCTTTCTGATAATGGAATTGGTAGTAAAGAATGGGAAATATTAATGGAAGTTCTTTGCAAGAACACTACTCTAACTTCATTAGATCTTGATTGGAATTCACTTGGTTCAAAGGAAGGAAAGGAATTAGCGATGTTTCTTTGCAAGAATAATACTCTAACTTCTTTATCTATTCATGGTAATAAACTTGGCCCTGAGGGAACTGAAGCAATAGCAGAGGCTTTATGTGAAAATAAAGCTTTAATTACTTTACACCTTGGAGAAAATCAATTTGGGTTTAAAGGGATAAAAGCATTAGCGAAAGCCCTCTGTATGAACACTATTCTGATATCTTTATCTATCGGTTTTAATAAACTTGATTTTGAAGGAAGTACTTTATTAATGGAAGCACTTTGTGAAAATACTACATTAACTTCTTTAGATATTTACGAGAGTGAGCTTAATTCTAAGGAATTAAAAGCATTTATAGAGGGTGTTCGCAAGAACAATCATTTAGTTTCCTTGACCATTGTATAAACAATATTTTTAGTAATTTATTTAGTTCTAAAGCGTTCTAAAAAAACGAATAGTTTTCGCAAAAGCACTTTATGAAATTATTGTGAATATTGAAAAAAAAAGAAAATTTAGTTGAAAAAAAAAGTATTTACAAAGGTTTTTCTAAAAATTTATTTCTTTTAATGTTAAAAGCTTCCAGTAACATTTATGAAATTATAAATTTATAATAAATGACATTATATTATTTACGATAAAGTATAATTAGAAGGGATAAGTCTTTACCGATTTACTGCTTTTAATATGATATATCCCCGAAAATTTTAATTGATTCTTCATACTGTAGCCACGGGTATGATTCAATCTTTGCAGAAACCTTTGATTTTGCTAAATATATTTACTATATAATAAGAATATAATTAAAACATAATTAAAATATTTTTATTCTTTTAAGTTACTTTTTATCATATTGTTAAATATTGCACGTAGACAGGTTATGTCGATCACCGAACCGATCGAAAGAACTTAAGTGCA